GTGGAGTACGAGCACAACTCCACCGTCCTGCACGGCTGCCTCCAGCTCAACCGTCCCACCCACGTCAACAACGGCAACTACACCCTCCTGGTGCGCAACCCCCTGGGCTCGGCCGCCCTCAGCGTCCAGGGGCGCTTCATGGAGAACCCCTTCAGCTTCAGCCCCGAGGAGCCCATCCCCGGTGGGTGCCAGGCAGGGGGGGCTGCCTGGGGGTCCCGCCGGGTCTCACAGAGGAGATGTGTCACACCCGGTGTGCAGAGCGGGTGGAATGGGCTCTGCCCGCTGGCCCTGCACAAGCCCCAGCGGTGGGAAGGGGAGGGACAGGGTGCTCCCACCCGAGGAATAACAAGTGTTTCTCCTTTCTCTCCCTTTGGGCTGCACCAGTGTCTCTGTCCCCACTGGGTGAGTGAACCAGGAGCGCTGCTGCCCCTGCCCCAGCCCCACCAAACTGTGCATTCCACCTGTCCCCCAGGGCTGATCCCGGGGTACCAGGGGTACCCAGGTCCTTGCCAGGACCACCTCAGGGGATGGGGACCCCCCACTCACCCTGCACCCTTCTCCCTGCCCCAGGCACCAGGAACAGCTCGCTGGAGGGGCCCGTGGAGACGACAGATGACCACACGTTTGGGGTGAGGGGATGCTCTGCGGTCTGGGACGGGGGGACCAGGACACCTGCAAGAGGGTGGGACACATCCCTAGGGGTCAGCCAAGAGGGATGGGGGCATGTGATGAGGACGAAGGACAGAGTCCCCGTGCCTCGGTTTCCCCTGCGGCAGCTCCTGGTGCTTGTGGCCAACTCAGGCTCCCACAGGCTGGGAAAAGGGGCCTGGCAGGACCCCGCCCTGAGCCCGGTCCCCGCTGTCCCCAGGTCTCGGTGGCTGTGGCACTGGCCGTGTTCACCTGCCTTTCGCTCTCCATCATGCTCATCCTGCTCAACAAGTGCGGGCGCCGCTCCAAGTTCGGCATTAACCGTGAGTGCCCCTGCCCGGTGACGCGGGATTTGGGCTGTGGCACGGGGACACCCTGGTCCCCACATCCCCGGGGCAGCGCTGGGCACCTGGGCTGGGCCAGAGCTGTGGGAGAGGGACAGTGGGTGGGGACCGAGGGTGGGGGGACACCCGCAGAGGGGTGCCGGCTCCCCCGGGAGCGCGGGCAGCAGCTGCTAATTCACTCCTGGAATGGATTCAGCCTCTAAATGGGTTTGATCGGGCTGCCTGGCCCCCGGGGGCCGGCCAGGCAGGGGGATGCTCGGCAGAGCCTGGCACTGGTTGCACCGGCTGGGGGGGGGCTGGGGGACCCCCTGATGGCCTTGTCCTTGTCCCCACAAGGCTCAGCGGTGCTGGCCCGAGAGGACGACCTGGCCATGTCCCTGCACTTCATGAACCTGGGCAGCAGCCCCCTCTCCTCAGCCGAAAGCAAGCTGGAGGGGCTGAAGAGYAACTTCATCGAGAACCCCCAGTATTTCTGCAACACCTGTAAGGGTC